ACAACGGTGTTAATGTCAAACTCTAATTAATCCAAGGTATTTCGCAACCTCACCGATTGGCAACCGTTGGTAAGTGTCCACAAAGTGGATGAGGATGGTGGACTCGCACTGCTGATGAGTTCCATACAAGGACGAAACGGCCGTCCAGTACTCTCAGGTTACTATTGGTGGTCTAAAATCAGTCGATTTAGGATTTCAATGGTATTTGAAGCATATAAATATACCAAGAAAGCTATGATGAAGCATCAAAATTTATAGCGAGACCGAAGGCGAATAAAATGTATACTAATTGATGTCAGTTCTTTTCACTATCTACAACGAGGAAGACCTGAATTTGTATACGCTGCTTTGAACTAATAAAACATTAATGACTTGATAGTTTAAAATGATATGTTTGAAATAGGATCAAACAAAAATTGAGTATCTAATTGTCAAAATTAATTATTAAACGATGAGAAGTTGAATAGAACTAACCTTATTAAAATTACCGACAACTTCTTGTACAAGAGATCGCATAGGTGCAATGTAAATTAATTTAAATTCATCTTTATTAATAGTACCATCAGGATTAATAAATTTGCCAAGTTCATGCATAATACATAATAAAGCAACATTTGTTTTACCTGCACCCTGAAAAACAGAAAAATTATAATAATTCATTGTCATAATTGACAATTATATACGTTCTATTATTACTGTTATTATTCCCGACCGTAGCTGCTACCTTGACGTGGTGGTCGGGCTTGCCTATCGTGATGACCCAACCGAGCTATACTGGATGGAACATATGTTCCTGAAGGTCCTACCATGCCAGGCAGGTCGATTGGAGAACGATGAGGCTAAAAGCAACTACACAAGGTCTCAGGGCGAAGTCGTACTGCTGACTGCAGAGGGGTGTGACAGCAGTAAGGTGTTTCCCTCGGACAACCAACATCTGCAGCGATGCTGCCTTCTCACAAGGAACGAAGGGTTAGAAAAGGTCGTCCCTAAAAATGTCACACCTCCCCTAACTCACGGATTTCCGTCTCCGGCGGTAAGGGTGCCCACTAAGGGCCTTTAAGAACGGAGCTATTCCTCTAAATACCTTTCATAAAAAGGCCGTGCGTGACCGGCCTCAAGCAGTTGTCCCTTGGGCTCTGCGGTCACGCATCAACACTAATCCATCTTCCTTTTCAGGTCCCTCAAGAAACAACCTTCCACGGTGTGGTCAGCCGGGAAGTGACAACCGCCCTCATACCCGTAACAGCACGCGAGACCAAATTGGTCAAAAGCAAATCCTTTCTACACCCCCTAATGTCTCTGACTGACTGACTGACTGTTATTATTACTCGTTAACATACAAAGGCTGTGGATGACCGACCTCAAGCAGTTGTCCTTTGGGTTCTGCGGTCACGCTCACAAGTCGTTAAGACCAACAACATACAAAACTGTTTTTGGTGGATATTCTTTAAGATAACTAGCTTTCATTGAGAAACTTTCCTTGTTGTGTGGTGCGCGCTACTTATAAGTAGTATACGACGCGAGTGAAAACGTAATGTCTGGCAGCAGAAGATGGGGGAAGATCAAGAAAGGAAGAGTGGGAACACAATGAAATTTATATGAAACGCATGAATAGTGAAATCTCAGACAATGGATTGATGATGGATTGAAGATTTGAAAATTAACGGTTACGATATGGTTTTCCTATTTTACTGAGTAACTCTGTAATTTGCGATAAATACAATTCGGTTGCCCTCACTTGTGTTCTCCTTCACTACAGTTGTTCTGGAGAATATCATTAGCGCTTGCTGTTCAGTTATTTCACAAACGTTAAACTAGTTTATTTGGATAGCCTCATTTATGATTATTTGTCTTTGTAGGTTCTGTCGTAGTCTTAATTCTTACTAGCACGCTTTGCTGCCTATCTTTTCCGGTTCACTTCTTTCATACGGGTCGACGGATGAGATTTATATCGATGTCCATTGATTGCTACTAGTTAGCCTCCACACCAATGTCATAACTTTTAGAAATCCTTTGGCATTTTTCGGAATTATTAGTATAAGGTAATCTGTGTAGATTTTAGAATTTTCATACTTCGAATCCACAACTGATCTTGGTTGGGTCATTATTAAAAGCAATGGATAGTGTATCCACAATCCCTCAACCAAGAACTGGACCCCGGATTTTTAGTCTTCTACATGAATCTTTAACCTATACTACTGAATCGGAATGCAACAGTGTTAATGTCTGACTTCAATCAACTAACAATGTTGCGCGAACGTCTATTGCTTGCGGTGGATAACTGTCACAGGACTGACATGGTTTAACTCTACTGGCCACAGCTTTTTACTGAAACTAGTCACTAGTGAGTACATTATTATTAGTAGTAAAGGCTATTTGTTGAGATTGTAGAATTTCTGTAATTTGGAATTTCTCTGATCCACTAATTCGACTATTTTCCAATAGACTTTATATCTACCGTTGTCAATGTGCAGTGATATCAGTTATAACAAATAACGTCGTCTTATTGTTAATCTATGTCCATATTACGCAGGTGAGGCTGGGCATCTGCCTTGTCTAATGTGAGTCGATCGCCAATCAATAAACAGATCGAAATCTATCAAATTTATCAATCAATAATGAAAATTATGGGCAAACTAAAACCGAGAATCAGGGAGAAGCAATCAGAATAATGGTGCGGACAATGACAGGTTGAAGGTCAACGACAACAACAAACAATTACGATCAAGATCAACAGGACAAGATGTCGATTAAACGTGGATAAATTCGAAAACCTCACTTTTATCTGAAGTTTGTGCTCATGATGCTGTTCAAAACAATAATGAAAGACCTAGGATTAAACTGTCCAGCTCAAAGAACGAAGCTCCACTAGAAACCATCCACCTAAGCTATAAATTTTCTTCACCATCTTGCAATAATCTTGTTTAAAACTTTGGAAAACCACACAAATAACGATCAATGAAACTACCCAGAAGTAGACTAAAGTGTCTGAAAAGAAGATTTAACTTGAAACCTATGAGTTGAAAGTCTTGTCAAAATCACAAAAATATTACAAGACGTGGATTCAGAATGAATTCCCCACCCCTGCTAGTACAACTGGTTTTGAACTATGTGGATTAAGGTCTCCAACCACAGATTACGATAATCTTGAAAACTTGGGAACATTTCTACAGCCTAGAGACTACAAGTTTGTGGACATTAAAATATACTATGTGCTTGGATTGGCTTCTAAACATTTTTTAAATCTACTTTTATGCTATCCAGCACAGTACGCTGATATATGTGATGACTGGGAATGTGTAACTGATGAAGATATAGAATCCCTAGGAGAATCAATATCGGCTTAAGATAAAATTTACGTTACATTAATTTATGTAGCGTGAATTCTGTTCATAAACTTTTAATGCCAAATGTTAACATGAAGCTCAAGTAGTTAATATAAAAAAGACATACGGTAGGAGCACATAACAACAGATTTTCATCTGTCTCCATAGCAGCATGATATAATCGACTTTGTATCAAGTTCAGCGTTTTACAACCTTCAAAAGCAGCTTGTGCATATGCAGGTAATTTTTCAATTTTGATTAAAGTTTCACCTGGTTCTAATGGTTTTTGACGTAAAGGTGGTACGTGAACTTCCTCGTAACCTTTTTTCTGTTTACGAAATGAACCATCCGGTAATTGACATCGTTTATTAGCCATTAAATGTCCTCCTTGTGAAAATGCCAAACCTTCTAAGTCGACGATATTAGCAACACCGATAGCACCATCTTCCGATAGTTGAAATCCTTCATCATTCATATTTTCATGTTCCATATCAGCCTGAATCATTTATGAAAGTAATGATAATAATAGGTTTAATAAATTAAATTATACCCTGAAAGGAGGTTTGAATATTATCATGAGCATTAATTAAGTACACCAGTTCATGTCGCCATACCACATTAGCACACAGAGATGTAATTGTCAATTCAAATCCAATAGTAGAAGAGGTAGTAAAGGTATTAGGAGTAACCGGAGAGGTTAGGATTAGGAGATATCATTCAAGAAGTATGATTCAGTGAGAAAAGTTTAGAAAGTCAAAACTAGAGGGGTTGAAGAATCCAGAAGATTAGAATTTGAGAGAACACAAAGAATAAATGCACCGGCGCCATTGCGAACGATTTTGAGCCACGTCATTCAAGGTCTCTAACCATCGATTATTATCATCTCACGGACACCAACCAGGTAGCCTACATCTACCAACATGACTCAGTCCACTTGTCAGTGACTTCATGCATTTGTGCCATGTTTTGGTTTAGCCGCCCCTAGCTTTCTTCCAACTTACTCCTACACTACAAACATAGCTCGTCACGACAGTCGGTGGTTTGGCATACGTAACACATCCCAACCACCTCAACTTACGAAGTTTCACTACTTCACCTATTGATTTGCCATCCTTACCAAGAACTCGTTTTCTAACGACAGCATTGCTTATACGGTTGTCCCATGATACACGAGCAATGCCTCGGAGACATCGATGATCGAAAACCAGTAACCTACGGAAGTCCTCTACTCTTAACGGCCATGTTTCGGATCCATATAGGAGGACGGAGCGAACTACTGCTCAGTACAATCGTCCTTTAGTCAGCAAACAGATATCGCGCCCACGCCATAAGTGACGCAGGTTGGCAAAAGCCCATCGAGCCTTCCGTATCCGAAATGAGATTTCGTCAGTCACCAGGCCATCAGCACTGATGAGACTCCCAAGATAAGTGAAGCGGTCTACACGTTCGACCACTTCACTCCCTATCACTAGTTCAGATGCCGATGCAACCCATTCTTGAAACAACATTTTGCATTTCGAGGGTGAGAACCGCATCCCGAACATGCTTGCATTGTTGCTTAGGGTAGTCAGAAGACTCTGCATTTTGTCAGCATCTTCACCAAGTAGGACTATGTCATCGGCATATTCTACGTCAATAAGCGAGCCACCTGGTAAAAGGTCTACTCCTGAAAATTCAGATGAGGATAAGGTTATATCTAGGAGCATGTCTATGATAAAATTAAACAAGAATGGAGAAAGTGGACATCCCTGACGGACACCACTTGAAGTGAAGAATTCCGATGACAGTTCGCCATAAGCCCTCACTCGACCAGTGGTGTTCGAGTAGAGAGCTTGTATGAGGTTAATGTACTTCTTTGGTACACCTGCGTAATGATATGAAAAACTCAATCCTAACTAACAGAACTAAATATAGATATTAATTATCTAGTTTAACAACTCATATTTAAAACATGAATCATAATTCTAATTGAATTCATAAGAGATTTTAATCTAAGCATAGTTTAATTTATAAAATACAACCAGTTTCCCTTACTTGAACACGAACAACACGTTGAACATTTTTTCTTTGACGTTCTTCAGCGACTAAATCAGCAGAATTCTCTGTTTCTCTTAATTCATGCAATACTTTGGCTAATGTAGGATCACTACGCATTTTCGCCTCCATTTGACTACGTTCTTGAACTGTTTGTGCTTGTGCTAATAGGATACAATGTAAAACCATAAGTCTATGTTTGCGTAAAATTTTAACAAAATCAAACTGTTCATAACCAAGAGCACGAACTAAACGATTTTCTAGATCTCTATCATCAGCAGCCGACTGGAGAATTTCTAAACATTCACGAGCTTTTGCTTGAGCAAGTATTGGATCCTAGATTTGGAATAGAAATAGAAAAAAAGAGACAACTTTAACAAATAGTTAGTAAGAAATATTGATTTTCTAACATTAGATTCTATGAAGTAGTATGTATAAATATAAGTAACTTGAACAAAAAACCGGGAAAACCATAAATAAAGAAAATCAACTATAAAATAATGAGCAACTACTACTAAAGAACAACAGGAAGTGTAATGAGATACACACAAGTAGAAATAAGTTGCATAAACGTTAGCTCGCATTTAGATCAACTATGTTCAGTTTCCTTAACTATGGTCATGTACATAACAGTTATTAACAAACAGGAGTTTCATGGTGTTGTATTTATTTTCTAAAGTAGAAGGGATCATCAATGTTTTGAAAGTCAGTCAGTCAGTCAGATGCAACGTAGAACTTCGTACGCAAGTACATCAGTTCATGTCGCCATACCACATCAGCACAGAGATGTAATTGTCAATTCAAATCCAATAGTAGAAGAGGTAGTAAAGGTATTAGGAGTAATCGGAGAGGTTAGGATTAGAAGATATTATTCAAGAAGTTTGATTCAGTGAGAAAAGTTTACAAAGTTGAAGAATCTAGAAGATTAGGATTTGAGAGAACACAAAGGATAAATACACTGGCGCGATTGCGAACGATTTTGAGCCATGTCATTCAAGGTCTCTAACCATCGATTATTATCATCTCGTGGACCCCAATCAGGTAGTCGACAATTACCGACATGGCTACGTCCACTGGTCAATGACTTCATGGATTTCTGCCATGTTTTGGTCTGACCGCCCCTAGCTTTCTTCCAACCTACTCCTACACTACAAAACAAAGCTCTTCGAGGCAGTCGGTGGTTAGGCATACGCAGCACATGTCCCAACCACCTCCACTGATGAAGTTTCACCACTTCATCTATTGATCTGCCATTCTTACCTAGCACCCGTTTCCTAATAACAGCGTTGCTCACTCGGGTGTCTCAGGATATACGAACAATGCTTCGAAGACACCTATGATCGAAGCATTGCTAGTAAATGTTTGAAAGGATTTTGAAAGGATTCGTGATGAAAGGCCTGTGATCATGTGCACTTATTTGTACATCGAAACAAATCCGATAGCTAAAACCTATATTAACAGTTTGATATGCAAGATGATACATTGCTTGTACCATACAATGTTATTTTGCACGTGCCAAGTGAACCCTGGCGATACTAATTGATAACAATGATCAGGCTAATAATCCAGAATAGGATGCTTACAATTCAGGCATGTAATGTGTTCAAGCCCCGTTAATGGTTGTAAACTATAGTTTTTTTATACAACGCAGAACTTCGTACATAAGTACATCGGTTCAAGTTGCCATACCACGTCATCACAGAGACGTAACTGTCAGTTCAAATTCAAGAGTGATAGCGATAGTAGAATTAAAAAGTTAGATATACTGAGGTAGCATCAGTGAACGAATGAAAAACTTCAGGTAACAGTGAGTCAAATAAAATCATCTTTACTCACAGTACACGATCTTTGTTTAAACTTAAAGCATTCCTCCAAGATGACATCATTATTTCCTGCTTTCCAGACTTTCTACTACTAAGCATATTTAACTACAATGTAATGCAATAGTCAAATAAAGGTTTGAGTATCCTGATTTGAGTTATATCGGGTCACGGTTAACGATACCATTTAGTGGAATTCGAAATCTTAATTGAAACTTAAGTGAGCTAACTACTACACCAACACTGATTCGATGTGTGAAAACTTGGATCTAAAAGCATTTGGACAGAATTCGTAAGTATTTAAGTTTTGTATATCTACCTAGGTATGATTGATGGATAGGGAAATAAATTCAGTGTAAAAATGCCTAACTTCATGGGTAGTTAGAAACGAATGCCTGTGTTATACAAAATCTAATGAAGAACCAAGTTCTATCAAGAAGCAAAAGGAGATTGATTTATTTAAATGATTATATATATACACACCTGTATGCGTCTGAAATAAATGGTAAACGGTAAAATACAAAAGTATAAAATAAAACTAACTTTACAATGTTTCGCAAGGTTACGTTGCAACCAAAATGCATCAATATCTCGAGGATGTAAATTTTCAGCATTTTGATGAGCAGTAATAGCTGAGTCATTTTTACGAGACTGTAATGTCATCTCTACGACAGCCTCTTCTCCATCTGGTTCATCTTCATCATCTTCTTTGACCTCCCCAAAAGCATCTTCTTCATCCTGCAAATAAAAAATAGATACATCGGAGATAGTTTATGATCTACGGTAGTTTTGTTTGACGAAGTTCGGTATATCTCTTGATGCTTACATTGTGCTAAGTTCATTTTTAAGGAGAGTGAACGCCAATAACACTTCAGGTACAGTGTGTTCGAAATCACTGATAATCATAATTTTAAAATCCATTTAGTCTCAAAGTTTGAAAGCTATTGATACACAGAACACTTACATTTTGATTCATACTTGTAAACCAGCCACTTGGGTATGAGACAGTATATATAAGGGCTAATGATACTAACCAGTTGCATGAACCGAAGTAGGAGGGAATCGAACCTGAGACGTAGTGACTTTAGACACTAAACCACCGTAACCGATCTTTCAGAGAGAATGGCAAGAATGACCCAACGAGACAACTGTCTCATAAGACAAATGAATTAGTCAGCAAGCATGGTTTTTTCACCACAAATTGACTGATTCACTGACGGTCGCATGTTAGGATGCTGTTGCATCAGCAGGTCAGGTATTACTAGACCTTAAACTAAGTGTGGGTGAAAACTGATTATGTACGGGTCTCCCCAATTAATCTGCTTAGTTAAACTAAACGTAGGTAATAATTAGTCTTGGGACACTAGCTCACAGTTAACAAGCAAATATTAAGCAAAATATTTTGATCGCTTTGCTCTAAACTGTTAAGAAACTGTACTTCTTTGGTTATCCATTTGTATCAAGTGACTGATTGTTAACAGAAATCTTTTAAAATATCACCATAACAATTCGGATCGGTTGATGTTTATTGACTAAGCGTATGTTCATGCTATCGACCTCGAGCTAGAGAAGATTAATGATACTGATCAACTATTCACACTAGAGAAGGCGGAAGTAACAAGTCGTTGATTGAAGACTGGATGCGCCCTGCATAAAACCAGGAGTTATTTATCACTCGCGCTAAAGACTCCAGTCAGGAAAACTATATCTTGGGGCTTTCAATTTCCAAACCCTTGATCAAATCCAAAAACGTGTCACTAGCTAGGACACCAGAACCTCAAGTCGTTGATATGTATCTCCATGTCATTTTTGTTCATTATTTGTCTGGCAACTGAAGGAGCATACTGTGCAGCAGTTCTCTGTATCAGTTTACGGCTGCGAAACGCCGTTGATAGTAGTTGACCATAGGCTCCTTCGAAGCATATCTAAGAAACGATGTGGCAGTGTGAGCAAATTTTCGAGACTACTTTCATTAAAAAGTAAGAACGTTGTTTATGAACTCAATGACTGATAGTGAAAACGTATGAACTAACATACCTCTTGATCTGATTCTTCAAACTGAACATTCACGCCGTAAGTTTGGTCAATATTATCATTTGAATTGGCGACCGCAGTAGAACTAGGTTCTTCTTCTTTCCAATCTGTGATTTTCTTGCAAAGGTTGACAATAATGTTATACCTTTCGTCAACAAGCGGACCTATATGTGCTCAGTATACGATCGAAAATAAATTTTACCTAACAAGGATTCTGTTTCCTTTCTTTTCTCCTTATCTTTCAAATGAGTATTTTTGGAAGTAGCAATAACTTCATCTGCTGCTCCGCATAAGATTTCACGTGACTGGTCACCTAAAGCCTCTTGAATACAGTGAAGAATGTATTCGTAGGTTTTCCGGGTATCTGGTGTCTTAGGATGGTACATGATTCCTGCTATGTCATTAAAATCGTCGTTCAGCAAGCTAGTTCCTTTCAATTTTAAAGCATCTTGCTGAGATTCGTCACGTTTTTGACGTCTGAAGATATAAGGTGAGATAATATTACTTACTTTGCCCGCTTCTCTTGCAGCATAGGTGGTTTTGTCCTTTGTGATTTATATCCCATTTCTTGAACACGAATTTTTCCAGCTAAACTCAGCACCTCCCCGGTAGACTCATCTCTTGGACGCCTGTCGATGAGTGATCGATCCGTTGATAGCACAAGGTTCGAATTGATCTTGTACTCGAACTGCAGCTTTCTGGCCGCATCATCAGCCATGGCTCAGAAAAAAACAATAGAGCCTGTTTAATCTTTAGCTTTAAGTATGTTATGAACCGGTTTAATGGTACGTTATGTGCTGGCAAAGTCTGAAGAGCAGATAGTGAAAATCTGGAAGAAAAGACAAGAAAGAAATTGACCCATAACTCGGCTTGCACTTACAATGCAATTAACTTAATTATGGCAAATGATCGAAGATGACCAACAAAGATGCAAACTTACGAGTAAGACAATTTGACAACTGAAACTAGGAGTTGGTAGCTTAAAATTTTAAGTAGTGTGGGTTTCGTACCCTTTTCAATATCTGATGTCAGTGTAGTGAGTAGCATTTTCGGAACTTTTCTGTTCAGTTAATGGGTGAGAGTTACTTAAAACAGCTTACCTTTACTCTAGTTTTAAATTCGATCATACGGAGCTATCTTCCGGTGAACAGTCTAACATAGTGTATCTGAAACTGCACGCATGTGTTAACTGAGCAGAAAAATGTTTCTATAATTATATTTATCATGTAAAAACAGATTCACTTTAGTTCAAAAACACGCATATGATAATATTATACCGTGAATCAGATCTGTGCAGCAATGGAGGGGTATGCGTCACTCCATCTCTTTCAAGCGATTAACTTTTTAGTAAGCAGCACCTCATTCCACATGTAATGGTTACTAAGTAAGGCCATTCATTTTCTTCAAAATCATAGTCAAACTCCTTGGTTTTAGCATTAGAGACTGATTTTACGCAGAAGTAGAGAGTATTCCGCTGAAATCGGTCGGTAAACGGGACTAGTAATGGTTTGAACCTAATTGTTTTAACTTCTAGCTATTTTGCGTACGTAAAAAGATTCTTTGACATAGTCGGTCTTCTTAGTGTTCTGAATATCGAGAAGAACACCTGTTACATAACTGACATTCCAGCTATAATTTAATCCTAATAAGTAGTTCTCAGTTAATAGTCAGCAACCTAACAAGGAATCATAAGAAATATCAGCAGTTTATGGTGGCTATAAAACAAAGAAAACCATCAACATATTTACAAGCTATGTTTATCTATGAACGGGCGATTATCACTTCGACGTATGAACAGCACAATTATTTTGCTCTCACTTTCATAACAGTCAAGTAGCTAGACAAAACATGCTTTGTTACTCAGCTTGACTACAAAGAAATATGAAATGATCTTTTGTCCGTTGGTGGTGATTTCATGAATTTGATACAGACAGCTGACAATACTTAGTTCAACACGAGTGTAGCTTTACGAGGCTTGGACTAGACTTAATGCTTATATGGCGAAAAATTTGCTCATATAGGTATGTTCAGATCAAATGACAATATTGTGTTCAACGGGGGCCCAAAATCAATCGCTTTGAAATTGCGTTTGAAAATTAACACATACTATTGAATATTGTTATTGTTGACGTGCTGCACAGTTTTTGTAGTTAAATAATTCTTTACCAGATGAAAAAATTGATCGCAACTTATATGACTATCAAAAAGAGCATTAGTTGTTACCAAGGTGATTATAACTCCTAAATAGTTTATTTATTAATGATATGAAATTTTGCTAATCGTTTTGTTGATTTCGACGATGACGCTATTAGTTTGTTTGACATTGGCTCGACTGGCTACACTGATGATTTGCGCGAATGAGTAAGTTACTTAAGTTCTGTGTTATTTAATAGATGATCCGCTCGAACCATGAGTCGACCAACGTTAGACCACCATAAGAAACGTGAGAGAACTTGACGGCCGTTTCTTCTTGGTAGAGGACTCATTAGAAGTGAGGATCCACAACTCCTGCACCTGACGGGATTCAAATCCAGGACCTTCCGTCTTAAGCGCGAACCCTGACCTCTAGATCACTGAGACGGATCTAACGGTGTGTTACGGGAGAAATGAAGACATTTTGCTGATCAAAACCTTTATATATAAATATCATTAATTTCACTGTTTTTTGGGTACATTTGTTTTACTTAACTTATGAACTTGTTTGAATTATTATTTTCGGCCATTTTGGACTCCCCTTTCTCTTGGTTGTTCGTTTGCAGTTTTTTGCTCCAGAAACCTATAAAATAGAAGGTAATTGTAATTATTATAATTATTGTTGTTAGAACGACATTGGTCGTCTATTTGTAATAAACACATTTTGATCGATAATATCCAATGATTATAAGAATGTTTCCTGTTCTTCTCCTCACCCTTTTCTCTCTATTTCTCTTTTTCAGCAACTTGTTCCAGTCCTCAAATATTAGTTTGGATAAATGCCGAAGGTTTGGTTAATTTAACCAGGAGCCTGTAAATTTATTATCTGACGAATATCAACAAGATCTTTGTATATTTACCTCATCAATCCTTGTTATGCGCAGACCTGGTTTTATCTTGGATCGGTTCTCAGCCATTAGTGGTTTGTCGTAACATAACCGTCGTAACTCGTGCCAACTATCGAATTTTAGATTGCAGAGTTTGAAACATTATCTTTAATTTATCTAAAATTTTAGCCATCTATCTGAAGCCAATGCATATATTTAAGTAACTGAATAATCTATCATTTTGATATTGCCTGCAAATTGGCATGCCTCTTGTAACATATTGTTGTTTGAGAATAAATAATAATTATTATATCTAAAACGGTCACTCTTTTCTGATTGTATGCTTTGGCCATTTTCTAGTGCAAAATCATTTGTTGCAAAGACTACTGAGAGTCTCGTGAATCTGCCTATGAATAAAAGCTAATGACTGGAATCATATGAATACTGTGAAGCATCTGCCGAATCTACAAGCATATGTACAAAACGAGAATCTGATTGTGAGGAAACCCCATTTGGTGAAGTCTTGTGACATTTTACCGTTGGCTTTTGGCATGCTGTACATACGCATATGTCAGTAGGTTCCGTTATATATCTCCAGTATTTATTATCTCGATAATAGTTCTTACCTCAGATTGAAACGAAGTTCGTAAGTTATCAGGCTGTAAGCTTTTCATATTTTTGGGGGATAAAAGATCATATCGTTGCTGCTTCATGAGGAAATGCATACACAAACAAACCACTTCTTAGCGTCACTGAAAAAACTTAAGGGATTCGGGATTTTGTAGTCATAATAGAGCTCTTTCACGGAGTTTGCAGCCGGGAATTGACAACCACTCTCAAACTCGTTACGGTGCAGAAGATCAAAATAATCAATGTCAAATACCCCATTTATTTTTTAACAACCCTTTTACCTCCACGACCAAACATTCTCACGTTCATTTATCATCTCGCGGCGCTAATGTTAATGATTTGAGCAAGCGAAACGTTATTCCTGGTCTCTTGAACCCATGTTCTGAATTACATATTGGAGCTTTTAATGTTCTAAACTTATACCAAGCAGGAAAGCAAGCTTCTTTGGCTAGGACTCTAGAATCTCGCTCCACTGATGTTTGCTGCGCCTCCGAAACGTGGATAACGGATGCGAATAGCGTCATTCATTTGACCTTAGCATGTCAAAATAAAAATCCAGCACCATTTATTCTTCTTGTTTCTGGAGGCCTTACTACTTCTGCCAGGTACGTCGTTGGTGTAGGTGTAGCACTGAGTCCCATGACAAAAGTAGCTCATTTAGATTGGGTCCCAGTAGAGAGTCGCATACGCGTAGTCCGATTAAACGGGAAAGTTAGGACCCGGAAAGATAGGGACATTCGCCGCTGAATCTTCATCTTCCGGGCGAACGCTTCCACTGAGAGCAGCTTAAATTAGTTAAAAGATTAATTTTACGGAAATCTTTATAAACTTCTCAAAAACGTTAGGAGTTCTGGTGACTTCAGTACTCAAGTAGGTAGACTAAGCGATACTCAAAAACACTTGGATAGACCTTATGTTGTTGTGACTCACAGAACAGATAATTGTGACCGTCTACTCCAACTATGCTCAGATAATCGACTATTTCTAATAAGTACTAAATTTAAGCATAAGGAAAATATCCTTTGACATGGAAGCCCCAAAGTCAAGCCAAGGCTAGAAACATGTAGGCCACATCGCTCTCAGTCACTGATGAATGGGCTCTATAGAAGACTGTGGCTCATTCTGGAGCACATGTTTAAACTCATATCACGCTCTAGTACGATCACATATTTGTCAGCATCTTACTGGACTGAGGAAAGACAAGCAAGGAAACATTTTAGGGTCTTGTCAGCCATGTAAGTGATGTCCACCCTGAAGCGGCTTGGAATGACGTCCCAAAAGCTGCAGAAACCAAAGTGATCTATTTCAATACGTTAAGATAAAAGGTCAGGGGAAAGTAGTGGATCTCAGTAACTTTTAATAAGCTGGTAGATGCTCGGAAATTCATCCAGCCTGGCTCCGATCATGGTGACGAGCAGAGTGAGCTTAAGCTCAGATCGTAAAAAGCCTACGCGATAATCGCGGACGGCACTAGGTAGAAAAAGCAAGAGAACAGCTTTTATCAACTTGCCTTACTTAAGTCAGCATATGCTCCGTCCTACTTTATGGCTGTGAAAAATGGCTAGTAAGAGTAGAGGATATTTGTAGTTTGCTTGTTTTCAACCACAGGTGTCACAGAAGCACTGCTCGTGTATCCTGGAACTATCAAATAAGCGACTGTTGGGGACGTAAGGTCCCCAGAACTAACTTGAAATGGTCCCAATTTTGTAATTTTATTCTGAAAATTGGAATTTCAATGTTTTCGCGACAGTTCAACTCCACCTTACATTTTCCCCTCGGAAGATCCCTGAATGTCATTGGTTGATGGATTGTTTTGGTAGGCTACTTTGTGGCTCTCCCAGGGGCGTTTCTGTCATATACAAAAAAACTCGATCTGTGTGCTTATCTACCTTGTATTTTCTGGGTGCTTGTAGAATATACTTTCTACGCCTTATCAAGACTTCTTGATATAGTTGGCCGCGGATGAAGCGAACGGATAAGAATAGTCTATCGTGTCAATGAGTCATTGTTTCTTTCCGTTTACTGAGTAGGATGAACTCGTAATAACATTCAAGTATATTAACTGACGAGTATATCAGTGATGCAGATGTTAGGAAACGGGTTCGAGGTAAGGATGGCAGATCAATTGATGAAGTGGTGAATCTTCATCAGTTACTGTGGTTGGGATATTTGTTCCGTATCCCTAACCAACGACTACCTCAACGAGCTATGTTTTGCGCTGTAGGAGTAGGTTGGAAGAAGGCTAGAAAATGCCAAACCAAAACGTGGCAGAAATCCATGAAGTCACCGAGAAATGGACTGAGCCATGTTGGTAGGGGGAGACTACCTGGTTGGAGTCTTCGAGGCAACAGTAACCGATGGTTAGAGAACATGAATGGTATGGCTCAAAATCGTTTGCAGTGGCGCAGGTGTACCTGTCACACGTATTCTCCTAAGTTATTATCTGAACTCCTCGTGACCATCTTTCTCTCTTCAAATCTGTTTCGATGGATTATACTTGAATAATATCTTCGGAACGTAATTTCTCCGGCTTTTACGAATAGTTCCACTATCTCTACCACTATAGGATTGGAATCGACGATTACATCTCCGTGCTACCGTGGTTTGACAAGCTGAACTGATGTACAGACTCAGAAAGTTGAGCGTTGTAACTGACTGACCGAATAACTGAGCCGTAATAGTATATTTCTGTAAGTGTAAAAGCATGTTTATATTTCTATTTTTCATTCTGTGATGAGTCTGAGATTTTTTTATCTTACAAATATCATAACAAAATTGGAACAAGGAAGAATAAGTTCAACGCTAAATATTCGCAAATAAAAAATATAGCTGAAACTTATTCCACAGACAAAGAAAATTTTACTAATCTGACAGAAGGTTTCCTTTTAAACTGATTATAAGACAAAAGTTCTGAGTTCATCACACTGGGCTCGCCACTAATTGGAATAGTCACTCACTCCTCGTTCGATATGTATCGAAAGTTTTAAAACTGTAATCGGTTTATTGGCTTGAACACGGAACCTGAGAGTTCGATTTCATACAGTTGTAACGGAGCGATTCGCTGTTGAGTATGATCGGCACTACAAAACAAGTACATGCTCGTCACTGAGAAGATAAAATGATCCAGACGAGTAAATATATTTGCTTGCGCCTTCGTGGTTTCGAAAGAATACCGAAAGTTTGACTGAAAAAATCGCAGTGACATTGGAGCCTACATTGCAGGAACACATCGGAAAGTCTGCGCGTACAGAGTGGTAATAAACAAAGAGGTACAATAAAACAATCAGTGGTACAGTTGGTTGTAAAAATGAATGTTCCTAATAAACCAGTCACGTTCTCTTTATAAAAGTGGATTCACTACACAGCCAATTTAGATTTGTTGGAAATTTATACTTTTCAGGCACTCAGCAGAGACACAGCAACTTCCAAAATAATAAAAAGATGCCAGCGTACATCCAGTCATCACAGGAAGAGATAGTTTAATATCTAACCTATTTACTGTCAAGTTGCGTTATTGCCAGTGCTTTTGAGGATTGTTGAGGGATTGGTCAACAGCTAGATGTCAAAATAAATGGACAAGAACCCTCTATAAAGCCAACCGTAGGCTTACAAAACGCAGGCCTTGAGCTTTCAATATCCTTGAAGCACGTGACAGCTGAAAAACCTTCTTGAACCGGAATAAATCAATTCACGCTCTTTCCCTTAACTTCGTGATGGCGTTTGGCACGAAACCACGCACAGTACAAAAGGTGAAGTTAGTGAAGACGGATTTTTATAACACGCTTCTGTCTTGGCACCATAGCAAGGCAAATAGAATGCCTACGAGCTCACAACATTCGAAAAGTTAGCAGTAGACAATGAGTTAAATCCTAACCTGTCAAAATGACTTTTTACGTTCTTTTAGCCCTGTGGGGCATAAGAAAGTTTACGAAGGCAGTCTTAAACTCGGGATTGTTCTTTCTGAGCTCTGTGAGGATAAAACGCGATAAGATCAAATACTCTTAGCTGGAGATTTCAATACTCCATCTCTAAATCTCAGCAAACAGGTTACAACTCCCATTGGTTGGTTTTAGAGACGACTTGGCGCAGCCATCAGAAGCTCTGGGCTTACTGAGCACATGCAGTGCCATTAGATGGACTAAGGAAGGAAAGTTCTCTAACCTGGATAATTTTTTAACAAATGATCAGCTCCTGGTTGAGATGTTCAAGTCCATAAACCAATAGGAAGTAGTGACCATCGTACAGTCTCGTTTCGCTTCGTCATAGGCGAAACACCGACACAGGACGAAAATGAATCCTATCTTTGCTATACTAGGACGAGTTACGCACGCATGAGAGAGAACCGTCTACATGCTCCATGGACACGGAAATGGCGGAGGCTGACAGTAGATGATCACTGGCAAACAGTGAAAGACATCATCCGAAATGCTGTCGTAGAGGCACTCGGGAATAGAAGAATGTTGGTTAGTCTCAGCACTGAACGCTCGCTACAGGCTAAGAGGCCAGCCTGTTGCAAGTGGAATGTCTCCTTTGAAGATTCTTACTTAGTTCTTACCTGACATTGAGAAACATATGTAATACCAGAGTTCGGAGTGACAGGAGATGCTTTCAGATGAAGCTAGCTGTTCAAATACAGGCAAACCCCAAGCATCTGTTTAGGTTCATTACATAAATAAAACCTAGGAATCAGGGTTTGTGTTCCCTCAAAGGTCCGAATAGGTAAGACTTCACCAAACGACAGATGCCTGAGATCTTTAACAAAAACTTCACCGATCAATTGTACCAGGCATCCAAATTTTCAGAGTACTACTCAAACCCAGTTCCAGCTGACGGCTTAGGGACTATCTTTAATACTCCTGACTGAGTACTAAGAATACTAAAATCCTTACACTCTGAAAAGTCACCAGGTTGTGACAGTTTTCGTCCTATAGTCTTGGAACAGTGTACAGAAGCCCTCTGTTCACCGATATGTGACCTGTTCAGGCATTCACTGGAGTCACACCAACTCCCAGCTGAATGGAAACCAGCTAATCTCTCTACAATCTTCGAAGGGGGAGATAGAAAGTACCAAGCCTGTTACAGACCAATCGCATTACTACCAGTACTATCAAAGGTAATGGAAGGGCTGGTGAATAAACAAATGAAGGAGTACATGGACAAGAATGAAATACTCCATGGGGCTCAATACGACCTTCACAAATGCAGGTCGTGCGCATCCGATCTCATAACATGGGAAAGTTGAACATCCTGTTTAGACGGAAAAATTCCTATGCACATAATATTTTTAGACTTCGGCAAAACCTTCGACACAGTACCCCTCTCACGCCTAATCACGAATGTTGAGAAAATGGGCTTCATTGACCCACTCCTGTCATGTCTCAGAAACTACCTTCAGAACAGAAAGTTTGGTACCATGGCAAATAGAGTGCGAGTATCCACATAGGGAGTTTCACTGTGGACCATCTTAGGTCCACTTCTCTTCTGATATTAATTAGCGATCTGTCAGAATGAGTTAACTCGCCTGTTTTGATCTGCGCATACGATACAAAGATCTGGAGGCTCATTAGAAGCGAAGAGAATTCAACTGAGCTCCCAAAAAAACCTTACATTCATTGAGAAATGGGCAGTGAAAAATGGTTTAAAACTAAACTAGCCGAAAGTCACGTCATGTGCATTCCGCCCCACATGACGCAAACGATTTACACCTTCAATGGAAGTTCGCTCCTCAATATATCTTCAGAGAACGATCTCGGCTTAACAACCACCAGAAGCCTCCACACCAGCTCAAACTAAATAGGGGACGCAGCAAAGGTAAATGCAACAGTTCACTTTATGCGAAAAAGACTTGGTACTGTCAACGCAGAATTATTCTTGACGTTGTTTCAGACTTATGCTCACCCACACCTGGAGGTTCACAAAGTCGTCACACCCACTCTCCTTGAAACCGACCACTCAGGTTCGTGCACACTTTTTCCCACCTGATGCATGCCCTGGGACGTTTAGTCGTTATTACTGCCATCTCCCCAAATCGCTAACTTTATTTAATTTGCCTATTATCTGTGTTCCCTCTTCCTTGTTCACGCCTCAGTCCTCTCGCACAATCTTCACTACCAATTAACAAACCAAATTATCCATCATTTACTTAGTCATGAAATCTTACTCTTATTAGCATTTAAAATTTTCTCCTTGTTATTGTCCACATTGTAACTAACTAATCTGGTATTGTGATAGTTTCTGGTATCCAAAAACCCTACTACCCTGAAACAAACGTATTCATTAAAATCACGGGACATACAAACTCACAAACAACTGCCAACTAACTAGAATTAGACAGTCTAGTGACTAGACACCCACTCATTGGACACTAAAAAACACCTGGAAGAGTATCGAAAGAACAAGAATCGAGCGCAAAGAAATCAATTGGTTTACATTAGCTCGTGCAAAAGTTATCGGATATTAGGTATTGGATATTGGACATTGAGAGGCCGGCAATTATTTGTTTCTAGGCTGCATAGAGTATGTGACTTTTCAGTCCTCAAGGACTGTGTTTTTCTTTTATATTCATCAAGAATTTAACGTATTATAAGCAGCCATTTCCAATAAAGATAAATTATATGTCTGTGAATGCGGATATCGCACTTATCCCAATTGTCCCTCTGTTTTCATATAACATTTGTAGTGATTCGCGGTACCTTTGTTCAGTAAAGTCCTAATAAACTATCTGGTAGGCCATCAAGATTCAACCTACGATGTAATAGTTTTTCTCGAAATTCCCCAGTAGCTTACATATAATTCCCTAAATGTTTAATTCATTGCATGGCCTTGCTTATCATCCTATTCAGACTGATATAATTGATTAAACCAATTTACTCTCTTTTTTGTTTACTATGTTGTTATGTTTACTACTTTATCTGGTAACCCGAGTTTCCATCCCGTCAATTTAAAAGACTCCTGAGTTGTAGCATTAATTAGCTAATTTCTTAGTGCCTATAAGTAACTATCGATAGGAAGCGTTGAAGATATCTAGTAAAATAAACCTAATGTCCGATTCACTCCTTAAGCTTCGCGAATGATGTAGTGGACCCGAATATCATCTGTCAGGCGGTTAATATAGGCCGTGTTAGTAATGTAGGTTGACGGCTTCTGATCATTACTTTTGTTTGCTTTGAGATTTTCTATCCGTTAGTATGCCAGAAAGAGTTCACAATCATATCACAAACCATATCATCAGACAGACATTAACTCGCAGTAAGTCGTAGTAAATTATGCTGGGTCTTACTTTCCAATCATCCCTGGATAATGCAAAGCCTGGGTCTTAATATCAAGGGTAACTGGTTTTTATTAGTATGAGTCAGTCATTCACGTCCAGATCATCTTACCACATGTAAAAAACATTTCAGGAAACGCCACTTGGAATTTGGAATCAGTATGATTCTCAAATCAGCACAATCATCTTGTTCCTTGTATAAAGACAGAGAAACAGCAATAAAAATGTTAATGCGCCATTACTTACAAAGTAAATGGTATCAACCGTGAGAAATACTGAACTAAACATAGTGAACACTTAGACATGTGAACAGATGCACACAGGCTAGTAGTTGAAAGGCTTGCTGTACTACTATTTATGTCAACGTATACAAACAACTACGGACGCACATTTGATTAGAAATGCTTCAAAGTTTCTAATCAGGAGAAATCAAAAAAATACTACACAATTTGTAGACATCTGGTATTCAGTTCATTCAGCAATCAACAGATGTGTTGATGTAAGCTCGATTCATCTATCCATGCCGAAGGGGTCAGCCAACCACTTGGTCATAGGTAAACTGAACAAAACTAAGAGGAGAAAATAAACGCATAAAAATTATGGAAACCATGAAGACAGCCGGTCGCAGACAAGATCATTGGAACATTGACATAATACTTGTGGTGTAATCACAATGCTCACTTCTATTCGAAGTAAGTTCTGACTGTGTTCAAGATGCAAACTCAAACTATGATAATACTGTTCGGCTCATTGGATTCAATATCACCAGAGTAATTCACTTGAAGTACAGATCTCTCTAATTTCGTGGGATAATTTTGTGACTTGATGTAGTTACTCTTATCCTTCTTCCAATGTTCTTTTATACCCGTATAAATATCTGTGTAGGCAGTTTGGGTATAAATAACATATGATTCATACATGTCGGTCTGTAGAGGCTTACAGACGTATCCACAAACATTTGTGCATCCTCAAAGTTGGAATAAAGTTCTACCAACAATCGTGATTCTTCTGGTGGTTGTCGTCACTTCACTAGTAATTACAGGACGATTCCTTTTCCTTAAAACTAAAGCTATCTGTAACTGATAGTTTTGTAGAATAATGCCAAATTACTTAATTCAAGTAAGACTGTTTCTACCTCAGATAACTCGATAACATCAAAAGTTGATCTTATTCTGAAGTACACGGATATCCTCCGTAGGCAAAATATCTACCCAATAATTTACATTTAAGTACGAAATATTTTTCATTTTTGAAGTATATTCAGTTGTTTTCTGCATTTCTTTCTTTTTCTGTAGACAATGGCAGCAAGTAAAGTCTATTCAAGACGAAACAGACCTGGAACTAAGGCAGAGGTATGATCAATCCCAATAATATCCTAATCGTAATCTTTCCAAGGAGTGGTGTAATTGGCCTGATGAACCGTTTGAAGATATGGAAAGTACACTAGCTGTTCAACAGGTATTTCCAGATTTTCCAGTAAATATCTTACATTTACAGTTTATACAACAAACAATAAGACGTGATTTTAATAATGTAGATGAGATTTTAACTGCGCCAGAAGGTCAAGATGAAGTGGTTTGGAAGTATGAACATTTAAGACAATTCTGTATGGAACTAAACGGATTGGCTGTTCGTTTACAAGAGCAATGTACCCCTAAAACATGTTCTCAGATGACTGCTACTGAACAATGGATATTTTTATGTGCAGCACATAAAACTCCTAAAGAGGTATTCATCTTTTTTTTCATGCCAACTTCACTTTTGACATCAATATGGTTTTTTTTAAAATTTTATTTGCTTACTAAATTTCAAAACACATTTTACCACATAGTGTGGTGCGAGCTACTTATAAGTAGTATATATGATGTGAGTGTCAACGTAATGTCTGGCAGCAGAAGATGGAGGAAGATCAAGAAAGGAGGAGTTAGAAGAACACAATGGAATTTGTATGAAACGCATGAATAGTGACAATCGATTGATGTTTGGCAACAGGAACAGTCTAGTTCAATATGATGAACTGATATTTTGCAAATGAACGATTTACGATATGGTTTTCCGATTTTACTGAGTAACTGTGTAATTTTCGTTAAATACAATTCGATTGCCTTCACCTGTGTTCTCGTTCACTACAATAGGTTCATAACACACTTTATGTTTAAAACTTATACATAATGACCTTTGTAAAGTTATATTTTAACTAATGGTTACTTTTATTTGTGTTATTTTTTTTCAAATAGTGTCCAGCTGTTGATTATACACGACATACACTTGATGGAGCTGCATGTCTATTGAATAGCAGTAAATACTTTCCTAGTCGGTAAATAGCTTTTTAATAAATTTACTCTTTTTTGTAAAAAAAAATTTTTATCATTACAGAGTAAGCATTAAGGTTACATCAGTCAATCGTCTTGATTCTGTTTGCCGTCGAGTTTATAGAATATTCTCTCATGCTTATTATCATCATCGAGAGATATTTGATTCTTTTGAAGTAAGTCAACCTCATATGCTTCTTTTTACAAGTTTGTATGTGTTACCTTAAAGTTAATCGTTTTATACTGAGATCACAAAACACTACTTTGTGTAATAACTTTGAACTTTTAATAAACTTTCATATTAAACATGAAGAAACAAGTTTTTTCCACATTAGGCCATTATCTTTTTTTTAGCTGCTAAACAATCTATTTGCCTGAAATGTTGGTTTCGGAGTTAAGCTGAAATTAACATTTCTGTGTGACTTATCCGCTGATACCATTTATTTATTTAAAACTGATGTCATAAAAACTCTTACGAAAGGTCTAATCCGATCATAAAAATGCCTAGTTAAGCTTTTCCTCATGAAATCGAAGTTCATACCTCTTACCTCCAATAGTTTGTAACTCATATGTCTGAATTATTTGTCAGTCAGTCAGTCAGATGCAACGTAGAACTTCGTACGTTAGTACATCAGTTCATGTTGCCATACCACATCAGCACAGAGATATAATTGTCGATTCACATCCAATAGTAGAAGGGTAGTAAAGGTATTAGAAATGATCGGAGAGGTTAGGATTAAAAGATATTATAATTCAAGAAGTATGATTCAGTGAGGAAAGTTTGGAAAGTCGAAACTAGAGGTGTTGAAGAATCCAGAAGATTAAGATTTGAGAGAACACAAAGAATAGATGCACCGGCGCCATTGCGAACGATTTTGAGCCATGTCATTCAAGGTCTCTAACTGTCGGTGACTATCGTCTCGTGGAGCCCAACCAGGTAGCCTACAGCTACCAACATGACTCAGTCCACTTGCCAGTGACTTCATGGATTTATGCCATGTTTTGGTCTGGCCGCCCCTAGCTTTCTTCCAACCTATTCCTACACCGCAAAATATACCTAAACGAAGCAGTTGGTGGTTAGGCATACGTAACACATGTCCCAACCACCTCAACTGATAAAGTTTCACTACTTCATCTATTGATCTGCCATCCTTACCTAGCACCCGTTTCCTAACAATAGCATTGCTTATTCGGTTGTCCCACGGTATACGAGCAATGCTTCTTAAACATCGATGATCGAAGACTAGTAACATTCGGAAGTCCTCTACTCTTAACGGCCAAGTCTCGCATCTGAACAGTAGGACGGAGCGAACTGCTGCTCAGTATACTCGTCCTTTGATTAGCAAACGGATAGCTCGCCTACGCCATAGTTGACGCAGTTTGGCAAAAGCCAATCGAGCCTTCTGTATCTGTGCTGCGATTTCGCCAGTCACCAGGCCATTAGCTTTGATGAGACTCTCAAGATAACTGAAGCGGTCTACACGTTCGACTACTTCATTCCCTATCACTAGTTCAGATGCCGATGCAACCCAGTCTTGAAGCAACATTTTGCATTTCGAGGGTGAGAATCGCATCGCGAACATGCTTGCATTGTTGCTTAGGGTAGTCAGAAGACTCTGCATTTTTTCAGCGTCTTCACCAAGTAGAACTATGTCATCGGCATATTCTAAGTCAATAAGCGAGTCTCCTGGTAAAAGGTCTACTCCTGAAAATTCAAACGAGGATAAGGTTATTTCTAGGAGCATGTCTATGATAAAATTAAACAAGAACGGAGAAAGTGGACATTCCTGACGGACACCACTTGAGGCAAAGAATTCCATTGACAGTTCGCCATCAGCTCTCACTCGACCAGTGGTGTTCGAGTAAAGAGCTTGTATAAGGTTAATGTACTTCTTCGATACACCTTTCAATGACAGACACTACCACAGAACCTCACGATCCACTCAGTCAAATGACGGTGTACAATCGTAAGAATTTCACTATTAGTTTAAAAAACTTTTATAACTTATTTTTGATATCCTCTATTGTCTAATCAATTCCTTGTGATTGATTATACTAAAATGTTTCATGCTTTTTTTTTTTTTAATTTGAGAGTTTTTTTTTCCCAATTTTACTTTTCATATCATTCATTCATATCATTCATTCATTCATTTGAATCAGGAATCAACTGCATTATGTCGAAGATTTACTACATTTGTGTTAAAATATAATCTTATGAGTAAAGATAACCTGATTGTGCCCATTGCCGGTGCTGTAGATGGAGCTGGTGTAATTGAAGCACAAATATAAGCAAGGCTTTATCATGCTTATTATAATGTTTAATTTACGTTATTATTATTATTATTATTATTTTTTCCTGAAATCTATGCTTAACTTTTCCTTTAATTATTTATGAGAAAAAAAAATTATTGAACTGTATGTATTTTACTGTGGCATTCATAAATAAATAAATAATAATAGGCACTTTTTTTTGCTTTGTACAAAGTTCGTTAGTCATGTTGCGCATTATTCTGTTAAATAAAAATTCATTTCAATAAATCAAGTTTTATTTGTATTTGTATTTTATTTTATTTACACAATATGTGTGTGTGTGTGTGGTGTTTTGTGGATTTGGTTTTGATTTTCTTTTCTTTTTTGATTTAAAAAATCCACTTAGAAAGTGAAACTTTTAGTCTGTTGACCAATAAAGTAAAAAAAATCCTATACTGCAAGTTTTAATTTCCCTTACTATGTGATCTGAATAATCGTATTAGATAATTTATTTATTCTGACACTCCGACTGCCTCGTCGAGCCTTGTTTTGTAGTGTAGGAGTAGGTTGGAAGAAAGTTAGGGGCGGCCAGAACAAAACATGGCAGAAATCCATGAAGTCACTGATAAGTGGACTGAGCCATGTCGGTAATTGTCGACTACCTGGTTGGGGTCCGCGAGATGATAATAATCGATGGTTAGAGACCTTGAATGACATGGCTCAAAATCGTTCGCAATGACGCCGGTGCATTTATTCTTTGTGTTCTCTCAAATCCTAATCTTCTGGATTCTTCAACCCCTCTACTTTTGACTTTCTAAACTTTTCTCACTGAATCATACTTCTTGAATGATGTCTTCTAATCCTAACCTCTCCGATTACTTCTAATACCTTTACTACCTCTACTACTAGTGGATTTGAATTGACAATAATGTCTCTGTGCTGATGTGGTATGGCAACATAAACTGATGTACTTACGTACGAAGTTCTACGTTGCATCTGACTGACTGACTGACTGACTGTGATCTGAATAATCGTATTAGATAATTAATATATTCTGACACTGAATGTTTTTCAACACAAGTTATCCGATGTTTTTTTTTTATTTCATGTTTAAGTTGCGTAAAATGTATGAAAAGAATTGTGTATTTTCCTTTGAAATTATGAATCAATCATTGTTAGACCACCATTGGAAATCTGGAAGCACTGGACGGTCGTTTCGTCTTAGTATGGGACTCTTCGGCAGTGCTCAATGTGCATACTGGTGACTAGCTTCGTGAGGTAATTCTCGGGGTTCCAGTGAGAGGTCGTGACCGGCGGAGTTCAAACATGTCGGGCGTAGGAAGTAACTACCTATGACATTTGGTGAGATTGCTCAATGTCTTGGTTCAACTAAAGTTAGATACCATAGGATGCCAACTAAGTAGAGGTCTACAGGCTAAGCGTTCACGCGCAAGCCTGAAAATCTTAGGTGGTGGTCTAATAATAATTGATTTATGATTTTAATAGAAACCAACAATTTCCATAACTTTGTAGAGAATTGTGTATTTGTTGAAGAAACATTGTTTTCAGTCATACATAATATCAATCAATCAACAGCGTCGTAGAACTTCGTACGTAAGTACGTACATCATTAGTTCTAGTTGCCATACCACATTAACACAGAGATGTAATTGTCAGTTCAAATCCCATAGTAGTAGTAGAGGTATTAGCAGTAATCGGAGAGATTAGGGTTCGAAGATATTATTCAAGAAGTAGAATATGATATTTCTGTAATACAGTGAAACAACTTATTGTCAAGTGGAACAATCATATTCATTGTTGATTCATGTATGGTTAATGAGATTTGTTTCTCTTGTGTACAGTATCATTCCGTTCATTCATATCACTAATTTTGCGTTATGTGAAAAACCTGTAACATATTGATGTATATGTAAGTGAATTTAAAATTATACTTGGTTAAGTAGTATGTATTACTAGAAAATCGAATGTAACACATTTGTAATCATCAATCAATCATTGTTAGACCACCATTAGAAACCTGGAAGCGCTGGACGGCCGTTTCGTCCTGGTATGGGACTCATCAACAGTGCGCATCCACAATTCCTGCTCCTCGCAGGATTCGAACCTCCAAAACTCTGCCCCAAAATATCGTAACAGTGCTCACTAGTGACTAGCTTCGTGAGGAAATTCTCGGAGTTCTAGTGAGAAGACATGACCAATGGAGTTCAACCCTGTCGGGTGTAGGCAGTAACTACCAAAGACATATGGGTGAGGTCGCGCGAAATCCCTAGATCAATCAAAGTTAGACATTAACACCGTTGGATGCCGGCCCAGTGGTCCGATGGTAAGTCGTTCGCCTACAATGCCGAAGGTCCCGGGTTCGAATCCTGTGAGGAGCAGGAGTCGTGGATGCGCACTGCTGATGAGTAGTCCCATACCAGGACGAAATGGTCGTCTTTCAGTGCTTCCAGGTTTCTAATGACGGTCTAACAATGATTGCTTGATGATTTCAAATGTGTAGAAACGCAAACCTCCAAAACTCTGCCTCCAAAAAATCGGATGTGACGTATCAGTTGGAAGTAGGCAACATATTTTTAACAAAATAGTACTACAAGTGATTAGACGTAAAAACAAATGATAATATTGTATTTCAGGATCAATAATAAATAGTAGTACTATTCTACTGGGATGAATTTAACATAATCTCATTTAATTCCCTTTAACCATTCAACTAATGCCATGCCAAGACAATTAAAACATCATCACTACCACATGATTTGATTTGTGGAAGGCAATAGTTTCATAGGATGTTTCGGTGGAAAAAGGCCATATCAAGCATTAAGAAGCTATCCTAAATGCTTCCATGTTTTGCATTGACTTATCTCATTAGTGATAACTCAGGTGGATGATTGTAGTGGCGTTTCGTTCTCTGAGCTGGATGTTTTGGTATTGTGGAGATTTCATTGTTCTTCAGAACAACATCATCAGAAGAACAATGAAAGTTCCACAATACCAAAACATCCAGCTCAGAGGACAAAACACCATCACATTGCATACTCTCATTTTTACATTTTCAATCTATTTAATAGTATATTCTGATTTTCATGTGTCTAAATAAAACGGTTGTTTGAAATGTTTACGGTTTGATGTATTAAAAGGATTTGAATTTTCTTGTTAATATTCATTATTTAAGTTGGTTAGTTTAAATCGGTTTATGGAGGAGTGCTTAAGTCACATGTCTCTTTATTTCTTGTATTCTTTGTTGATCGTAGTTGCTTATTAAATCCAAGAAGCACCTTCTCCTTGTGTATGATGCACTTTAGTTGGGTGTATGTACTTACTAATCATATCCATCGCTCCGTCCTACTATACGGATGCGAAACATGGCCGTTAAGGGTAGAGGACTAGTCTTCGATCATCGATGTCTCCGAAGTATTGCTCATGTATCCTGGGACAACCATATAAGCAATGCTAACGTTAGGAAACGAGTTCTAGGTAGGGATGGCAAATCAATAGATGAAGTAATGAAACTTCATTTGTTGAGGTGGTTGGGACATGTGTCGCGTATGCCTGGCCACCGACTGCCTCGACGAGCTATGTTTTGTGGTGTAGGAGTAGGTTGGAAGAAAGTTAGGGGCGGCCAGACCAAAACATGGCAGAAATCCATGAAGTTACTGACAAATGGACTGAGTCATGTTCGTAGATGTAGGCTACCTGGTTGGGGTCCGCGAGATGATAGTCACCAATGGTTAGAGACCTTGAATGACATGGCTCCGAATCGTTTGCATTAGAGCAGCTGCATCCACTCTTTGTGTTCTCTCTCATTCTAACCTTCTGAGAATTCCTCATAATCTCTATCTATCTCCTAAATTTATCTTACTGAGTTATACTTCTCGAATCATATCTTCGCTGCCTAATCTTCTCCATTACTGCTAATACTTCTATTATCGCTATCACTGTTGGATTTGTACTGACAATTGCGTCTCTGCGCTAATGTGGTATGGCAACTTGAACTGATGTACTTATGTACGAAGTTCTGCGTTGTGTCTGTCTGTCTATCTGTCCACTGCAAATCAGTAACAGCTACCATAACACAATAATTCAATGAACCATACATACTATGGTGTTTGAGTCTATGAGTATTATTGGGTTTTTAGTCTGAAAATTAACTGGAAATACAGTGACATACAATTGGCTTGTAAGAAATAGGATGGAATGTGCTTTTTTCTTGGGATTTCATCGTTAGCCAATATCATCATTTATCGTCTATGATGAATTGTTCACTATTTCTTATAAAATGAAAGTGAAATTATTCCATTGTACGCACAAATGTCGCGGTAGAAAACAACAAATTCTCATAATTGCAGATAAGTAATTAAAAATGATGTGTAACTGTATAGATTGTTTGTGTAACTACTATAATAATAGGTATGTGAGGTGACCGGATACTACTGAAATCTTTGAAGTATTTATTTCCAGGAAATAGTTTCTGAAAGACATTAGAAAATAGGTGCCTTTACTAATTTTGATATTTACCTCTAGTTGTCATGTCTCATGGACAGAGCAAGATATTATTTAGTGGACTTAATCCATGTATCAATCAAAGCAAACCAGTGAATCATGAAAACGTGGTAAGGTTCTAAAAATGTGCATTGTGGTAGTTTATTTGTAGGTTACTAGTATTCGATCATCAGTGTCTTAGAAGTATTGCTTGTATATCCTGGGACCGCTGAGTAAGCAATGCTAGAGTTAGGAAAATGCGACTAGGTAAAGTTAGCAGATCAGTTGACGAAGTAGTAAATCTTCATGAGTTGAGATGGTTGGGACATGTGTTACGTGTGCCTAACCACCGACTGCTTCAACGAGCGATAATGTCTGATGTAGGGATAGGTTGGAAGAAAGCTAAGCGTGGCCATACCAAAACATGGTAGAAATCCATGAAGTCATTGACATGTCATGTCATGTCATACGCAACGTAGAACTTCGTACGTACGTAAGTACATCAGTTCATGTCTCCATACCACATCAGCACGGAGATGTAATTGTCAATTCAAATCCAATAGTAGAAGAGGTAGTAAAGCTATTAGAAGTAATCGGAGAGGTTAGGATTAGAAGATATTATTCAAGAAGTATGATTCAGTGAGAAAAGTTTAGAAAGTCAAAAGTAGAGGTGTTGAAGAATTCGGAAGATTAGGATTTGAGAGGACACAGAGAATAAATGCACCGGCGTCATTGCGAACGATTTTGAGCCATGTCATTCAAGGTCTCTAACCATCGATTATTATCATCCCGACCGTAGCTGCT